CACTTTCTTCTTCTCTCTCCCTTCCCATCATCTCATTTCTCTTTCTCACTTTCTCTCCACTACTTCCCTTCTCTGTCTCTTTTCCTCCCTATCATCCGCTTTCTCTTTCTCACTTTCCCTCTATCACTTCCTCTCTCTGTCTCTCTTGTTCCCTATTATTTTCCCTCTCTTTCCACCTCTCTTTTTCTTTCTCCTCGCTACATCTCGACGCCGTTTTTCCTCGGTTCTCCTTGTTCCTCGTTCCTACAACCGCTCCCTCCTCCCACCCCGCCCTCCTGGATACGCCTTTGCTCCTGGCAATCTAATAGGAACGATAAATCGCGGCCAGCTACTGAATCGGCGGAAGAGGAAACACGTCGGGTGATCGAGGCGCCGCGGGAGGACACGTTGCCGTAATTTATTGGCCTATGATAGCGGGCATTATGTAGATAGCAACGACGTAGCCTTCCCTTCGCCCCGGGCCCCACCCGCGGGGACTTATTACCGTCACGTACCTTTCCGCGCCGATGGTTTTTCATAGTTTACGTACCCGTCTAGTGTCACGTTCACCGAATCGTGTGTTTCACGCGTAGCGTCGCCTTGATTTTGTCGCGAAATAATAGAGACTCGTGGAATTTTATCTTCGTCGATAGAATCAATTAACTCCGAAACATGAAGTTAAGGAAACAAGGGGTTCATTTTGATTGAAACGTTTCGAGTTATTTGAGTCACCTCAGTTGCTCCAAGCTTTCATTAACGAAATCATTCTTAAATACCTCGTTGCAATTCAGTTACCTCAATTATCTAAATATTTTAACTACTTCGATCAGCTAAATACTTTGATCACCTCAATTATCTAAATATTCCAATGATGCAATTATTCGAGTTAAATCCAACCGATTCAGAGAAATCGAATCTATAACCTCCCAACTCACAAATCAATCTCCTCTCGAACATCCAAACAGCCGAATCAAAAAGTTATTCATTCCACGAGTGAATATTGAAAGCACCAAACAATCGATGGAACGAGCAAAAACAAGGAAGCACGTTTTAAATTACTCATTCGACGCTGCAAGGAACACTTCGTCAAGAAAAACGAGAATCACTCGATTAGCCGCAGGACTATATTATTCCACTCAACATTGAAATAACACCACGCGGATGGTCGGCGAGCACACAAAGAACTCGGCCGTTACCTTGCCGCAATTAAATATTACAATGGAGTACCTGCATGAATACATTCGCCGGTCATTGTCCGCGGCAGCGTAAATACGCGCTCCCAGGACCCAATTCCGTGGCTCTCCGGCGCGCCTCTCGCGACGCCATTGTCTAGCCCCAGTCATATTCGATTAAAACCCGTTTCCCGAAGATTCCGGCATTTTTCCCCTTTAATCGGGCCGTCGACGGATCCGTGGCTTCGAATCAAAGCGGCTGTAACCGCGCGCGGTCGTAATCGCGCGGCGACAATGGCGGCGCTCCCGTTAATACAGCGATATCGCCGGCGGAAAGGTTCGCCGATTCTCGTTTTCCGAACGGGAACGACGGGAATAAAACACGAACGGAAAAGAGAAAGCGAAGAAATCAACGGCGGAACGTACACGGAAGGGAAAAAGGCATAAACAGCGGGAATTACTTTGGCGTTTGCGCGTGTAACGGAACCGTAACGGTTAATCCGGAGGATTTTATTGGGAACCGTTATCGCTGCGTCCGCCGGCCGACCCCTCCGCCGATCGATCGACCGGTTAATGAATTTTAATAAACAGGGAATTCTCATTTGAAAAAAACAGAGAGGAAAATAGAGAGAGAGAGAGAACCGTGGCGTGCACGCGGCTGTAATCGAAAACTGCGGATAATCAACTTTTACGGTAGCCCATTCCCCGTTCGAGCGAACAACAAACCGTGTTCTGAAAGATTAGCCGATTTCACCGTGATTTTTAATTTCCAAGCCCTCGCTCCGATACCAGGCCAGTCGGGCGCGGATCATGACGAACGATGTTCGAGGAATGCGCGACGGGTGTTCGCGAGAATGTCACGGGGCGCGGGAAAATGTCGCTATTAGCCGTCGCGCCGATGTCCCGGCGATACACCCCCCTCCGGGAAATACACGGGCGGGGTTGAAAAAATCTTCTGGAAATCGGATGGCCGGGTTTTTGATAAAAGCGCGGACATATAAATCGCTCTCGGAACTTTGCGGACGATAGATTGA